GTTTAATTATTCAAATTAAATCATTTTGATCATTATTATTAAATTGTTAATGTTAATATATAACAAAAAAATAATTATTACTTTACCAATAATTAATGCTAATACTGACATTAATTATTGGTAAAGTAATATTATCATTGTATGCTTTACGAATCATTAGTTACACAAAAGGCTTACACATTTTATAGTTTCGCACGTAGATTTAGTTGGCAAAAATAAAATTTCGACATTTTGCTTGCTTGAAAACCGAAACCAAAATTTTTAATTTGCCGAAACTATTGCCTAAATTTAGTAGTTTAGGCAGACTCCTATAGCTTCGACGCGCTCCACTTCGTTTTTTCTTTTTTTCGATAATAGTGATTGTGACATTTTTAAAACTAATTGATCGATGCGTACGCATTAATTATTTATCCTATTGGGGGTTTTTTTTTTTTTGGACAGACGCGAATTGTTTTTTTTTTTTTTTTGGAAAAACGATTTATTTTTTGACAGAGTCCAAGGTGACAAAATGTGAGTGTTGTTGTTGTTGTTTGATATGGTTTGACTCTACTAAAGAAGACAAGGTGTTAATAACTAACCATAGGTTCTATTTTTTGTTTGCATTGATATTTTTTGTTTTAGTTTATAAATATTTTAATTGGAATCAAAATGCGGAGCAGATCCTCGCTGGGTAATTACAAGATTCTTATCAAGATGATAGATGATTGGTATTTTGCTTTTCGTAATCAATAACATTATTACATTCATTGTATTGTCTTCTGAAACTGTTTAGTTTGATCCATAAAAAGACTGTGCCGCATAAATAGGAAATTAAAATGTATATAAGAGGGATTTTTGGAAGTTGGTATTTTCACCAATGTGACATTGGAAATTAATATGACTTTTGTACATTTTTGCATGCCACAACTGTAAAGCTATTCCGTTATAACGAGCTTTTGACCATTTCCAACTTATCACGTGTACCATGTTTGTAAATCCATGCCTTATATTTTAAAGATTATGGTAACACGTATATAGATACAGGTGAGAGAATGTTGTTTGTTACACCAGTCAAATTTGACATTAATAAAATTTCGAATTGAACGTCTTCAACACTTCGTTTTATACCATTGTATTGTATCAATTACACCAAATTTCATATCATGATAGGTTTTAAACAGTTAATATTAATTAATTAATAAAGGGATTCAAAATATAATTTTTTTTCCATTGATTTTTTGAAACCATCTGAAAAACCATTCCTCGCTTTAATTAGCTAAACTATAATAATTTGCTAAGCCCCCTAACATCATGTGAATGATCAAAAATAAAAAATCTAGCGATCATTTTGAAAACATTTGTAGTTTTCATTACTATTATATACCATCTTTTGTTAATATTAATATTAACCTTAAAATACTGCGTAATTATAATGGTGATAGTCATCAATGAAACCGATACACGTGATTTACGCCTAATAACAAAAATTTTTGTTTATTAGTGTGTGTTCAATTTTTACCATTGAAAAAATAATAAACAAAAAATGATTGCAATTTTACCACCAGAACTTTTAATTCCAATATTTAAAAACTTTGAAAATGATTATAAAACACTTTATAAATGTATAAGAGTTAATCGATTATGGCTTGATATTAATATTGCAGAATTATGGAGAAATCCATTAATTTCAACAAAAAGCATTAAAGTGTTAATTAATTGTATGGTAAAAGAAGACAAAGACTTTTTGAAAAAGAATGAGATAAAATTTTCTTTTGAATTATTGGAAAAACCGCCATTATACAACTATGCAAAATTTGCCAATGAATTAAATTTTGCATGTATTCGAAAACTGGATGGTTTAGTAAGAGCTCATAATAATTATGATGGATTTTTTCTTAATGAAAAATTAGTTAAATTTATTTTAGATTATTCAATGATAAAGATAGTTTGTACAAAAAATATAAAGAAGCCATGGCTGATTAGTAGTCCGAGCTTTGATATTTGCTTCCTGAATATTTATGAGTTGGACTGTAATGCTGAATTTGATAATAGATTTTTGGAAAAGTTAACCAAAAACTCTTGTGGTTGTAGAGATATTCAAGTCATGAGGGTGAAACTTAGCAGGAATGAAGCTGACAATGATATACTGGCTAATTTGATTAGTCGACAGAAACAAATTAAAAAATTAATGCTTGATTCATATTCTATCAAAGACAAATTTTCAAATAATTTAAACAATGCAATACTAACTCATTCAAATTCAATTGTTGAATATTCAAACCAGGATTATAATGAGTTGGATCATTTAATACCAACCTTTAATAATTTAAAATCTTTGTATTTATTTAATAAAGTTAAGGATTCCAATATTCCCATCAAAAATGTAACAGACATATTATTATTAGAAGGCATATATTTTCCAAATCTTGAAAAATTGATTGTGGAAATTCATCACCAGAATTTTTCGTTTAATATGATTAGCTTCATTGGAATGAATGGAATGAATCTTGTAGCTCTGAGTATCGATGGTAATCCTAATGACACAGCGTATTTGGGAGTGCTAATCCAATCAATTAGTCAAAATTGTCAAAATCTAAAATATTTATCATTGCTGTATCAAAATGATTTAAATCCACCATTAGCTGGAGTATTTAATAATTGTAAAAAATTGAGATTTATTAGTTTAAAGTTGCTGTCAGCTGGAACTTTAATTTTAGATGCTGATATAATAATCAAAGTTTTGAATGCAACTTTACCTAGAAATTTGGATACAATTATATTTGCAACAAGAGCTAGTCTTTACAACTATGATATTGTGCAGGATTTGATGAATAACTGGAGAGGACCTAGACCCGTTACAATAAAATTCTTTGGATATAAAAAAGATTCAAAAGGAAATTTATTTAATGGATTAAAAAAATATCAAGATTTAAATATAGAGGTTCGACTTTCTGCGTATCCTAATAACCTTTTTCCAGTTTAACGTTATATATATTTATTTATTTATTTATTTTATTTTATTTATTAAGCTCATTCATTTACAAGGAAGATTTATTTATTTATTTTGTTAATCGAATCAACACCCAATAAAAAATAAAAAAATATTGATTTATTCTTTGCGAATAAAAATCATTATAATTTTGAATAATAAACATTATCGAATAAAAAAAATATTACTTGGCAAAAATAACTAATTTTGAATATAAAAACATTATCGAATAAAAAATATTATTTAGCAAAGATAGAAAATTTTTTTGCGATTTTCGTTAGGTAAATTATTCTTCCATGGCATAAGTATTTGTGTCCGGATCAAAAGCCTGACTTTGCCAAACTTCTTTAGCTTTCGATTTATTTGGATCAGGTTGTCGAATTCCCGTATCACCGGTGATGGCGCTAGTGGCAGTCACAATCTTATCCTTAATATTGATATTTTGTTGAAATTTAGAAGTTTGAGATTGAAGTCGTTTAAGGTTTTCTTGTAAATATTGGACCGCTGATTTTATTTTTTCTGTGATCAAGTTTTCAAGTTGTTTTCTAATCCTATTTTGGACCAATGGGGTTAAAATGGTATACAAGAAACTAAATATAAATAGAATTTTTATTTTATTTTTGTTAGTAAATATATTTCATAAAAAATAAAAAAAAAAATAAAAAAATAAAATATAATAAATAAAACCCACTCATGTTTTGTATCATGTAAACGAAGTTTTAAAGATTCAATTTGAGTTTCTGCTTCTAATACGTTCAACTGAAGGTAGGGGCGATCTTCTGTTGGTAGGTCTAAAAACAATTTCATATAAAATTTCAAACCATTATCTGGAATGGAAAAATCAACTAATCCAACCTAAAAATAATAATAAAATTTTTCGTGTACATTAATGATGATGAAAATAAGATTCAAAATTCTTAAATAGCTTTATATTTATACTTACATCTATCATATTAATCAATCCTTTTTTCTTCTTATAAAAGAATGCAATGTTACGTGCATCGGCACAAAGTTTAGAACTAATTATATTATTATTTATAATAAAGAAAATTAATAAATCAATGTAACCAACAAATTAGAAATAAATTGGAAATACATAAATACATTTCGAATGAAGCATAATTTTTAAGAATATTGTCGTCCTCATTATCCAGATTAACGTCAGATGTTAAACTGATGTGAAGATGTCTTGGTAGAATTTCCGGTAAATGAAGAACAAAATTATCAAAAGCATAATCATATTCTTCATCCGAATTCTCAATTCTTGGAAGCGGCACGTATTGAATTTTATTGGCGAAAACAGGAATAATTTTTGCAAAATCTTTAACGAGCTATATATATATATATATTTAAAAAATGTAAGAAAAATAAAATAATTAAACCAATTTCCAGGTATAATCATTTAACGTTTAATATTTAATACCTCATATTTGATTGTTGGTCTTCCTTTTTCATCCAAGAAAAGATCACTGATCAAATTATCAAAATCATTTGTCCATTCGGACAAAGTTTTATCTTTTTGAATTGCTTTGTTAAAGGTGCTAGCCTCCTTCTGAATGCGATTGGTGATATCATTATACTTCTCCAGCAAAATTTTTCTACCACCTTGAATCAATCTTGATCCATGATCAATATAATCATTATTCTGTACAAAGTTGGTGTCATGAAGTGATTTGACAACAAACTGTTGAAGATCTTTAAAATAATTACGCATTTCTTGATCAGTTTTTACTTTTGTACCAAGTTCTCTGAGAGATGAGATCAATGGATCAAGCGATCGATTATTAGCAAAGTTTTCAATCAAGTCTTTGGCATTTTTAGTGGCAATCTGAATTGCACTATTATCAACTATCGTCACAGATGTAGTTTCGGTCACAGTTTCAGATATTTGTTTGGTGACTTCTTGAGTATGTTGTGAAACTCGGGAGATCATGTCCAATAATTCGGAAATTGCATCTTGAAACTCTGGATTCTTGTGTGCTTCGATCATCACATTCTTGAAACGAGTCACCAATCGATCACGTTGTTCCTTGCTAAGTTGATAGTTTGTAACAGATTCTTGGACAGCGGTTTTTAACGACGATGCACCATCAGTAACAGCTTCTTTCAATGATTTTTTACCCTCACTATAATCTCTGATATGTTCGCCACTAATTTCTGCGGCATTTTTTGCTATTGGATATGTGCCTTCGCGTAGTTGTTGAGCAACATCTTTTGCGGTTTCTTCGGTTGCCTCTTTTGGATCTTTTGATTGTTGAGTATGAGAGGTTTTTTGGATTTTTTTGTTATTGTTGTCAGATGGGGTGAAGTCATCTTGTTTTGGAATATTTAAGGAAATTGCTTCTTGAACTATCGAATTAATCTCGTTGATCAATAAACGAAATTCTGAATTTGACATGATAAGATTAGGAATTTTAAGGATTTTTTTGAAAGCATCTTGTACTGTTGGTGAGACATCTTGTTGAACAGTTGAGGTTTCTGCTTGAACTTTTTGTTTAAAATCTTCAGGAATAATTTTCGTTCCTATTGATTATTTGTAAAGTAAATATAAATAAATAAATAAATACATTAATAAAATTTTAAATTTTAATGAGTTAATAAATTTGATGTATTAATGTATTAACGCATTTCGTACCGCTAATATCTCTTGCACCTTGAGTACCATAGTAAACGATATTTTGTATTTCATCATTGGTATTTTTTTCATCGAGAACTCTTTTTGTTGTTTCTAATAATTTTTCAGTGTCAGCCAATACACGTTTACCCAATGGAGTCATGCCGTGACCAAGATCATGAATAGCTTCCGATTCTTGAATTTTATCGATGGTTTCAGTAATTTGTTCTGTGGATGGAAGTTTTCCGTCCCTATTTCAAACAATTAAAAAAAAAAGGTTAGATATTTATTTAACGATAAATGATAATTAATTAATTTAATTTAATTACTTTAAGGCTTCATAAACTTGGTCAGCTTTATCTCGTACTTCAATTGCTTCTCGTTCTATGGCAGCACGGTCAGGATCATTTCTTGGTGGTAATTTCGAAGACATTTTAATGTTTATTGAATTATTTAATATTTGATTAAGAATTAAATATTTTAGATGGTTTTTTGTTTGTTTCAAATTTTTTATTAAAGTTAAAAATTTTATTTATTGTTAATTGGAAAAAGTAATGAGAATTTATATAAAAAAATATATTTATTTATTATTATTATGATGTAATGGGTTTTTGTCAATAAATAAGATTAGTAAAATTTACCTCATTAATATAAGCTAATAACGTTAATACAAAATACGTAATTAATTTTTCATGATATAATGATGACGAGAATGATAGACATAATTTGTTTCAATATAGAAATTGGCAGTTTTTAAATTTTTTTTTTTAAACTTCGCTTGACTAGGGCATATGTATACAAATACGTTGTTTAATAAGAGCCCTGTTAAAAAAAAGCGCGAGTAAAGAAACAAGCACAGTGAATTGATATATATATATATGGTTTTTTAAAAAAATCTTTATCGTTGAACGAACTCATTTGTGTTATTGTCTTTTTTCACTATTTTCATGGATGTATTCGGTATTGTACAAAGGAAAATTTTGTTTTTTTCAATGCTTTATATACCAAACAGTACATCAATCAATTTTTGATACGGAGGAAATCATCTATGAACCTTTCATGAACAAAAAACCGATAAATCACGCAATAGAAGATAAAAAAGGCTTGCAAACAATATTAATGTAGAGAGGATATAAAGAGTCAGGCATAGACTTGGAGAGAGAGTCGTAAAATTTCCAACCACGGTCAGAAGAAAAACAGATATCCAACTTTTATATGTGAGGATGGGGTTTGATGGAACAAAAAACATCACTTTGACATTCAATAATAATTATAATAATAATATTCTAGCAAAAAATATAATCGAGATGAAGTTGGATTGTCTTTACTGGCTGCCCTTAACAAATAATATATTTAAAAGATTCTTCTAATAATCGTGCTTGCTTTAACTTTAGTGCTTCAAATAACGGAAATAACGAAAATATTAATGATGTTGTTGTTGTTGAAACTAACAGTGTTGATGCAAAAGTAATGATTATATACTATTTTTCTTGAACATAGCACCCAATAACGATAAAAATTAGTTATATGTGTCGTGTGATTTTAATACCAATATCGCAATAAAATTTTTTGATCATTTTTTTTTTTTAAAAAAATATCAAGTATTATTAAATGAAGCGTCTATACTTGTATTGCTAAGAGGATTTATACCAAGTGAAATCAAAACATGCTTAGAACAAAAAACAAAATAAGCAAATTGGCAAGAAGCATATGTAAAAAAATCCAAAGAAAAGATCTGGAAATCGAAAGCGAAGTGTGATAATATCATACAATGAGAAACGGAAATAGGAATTACAAGGGAGTAGAAAATAGAAGGATTTAACAATAATAATAATAATAGTAGTAGAAATTATTAATAGAAACAATGGTGTGGATAATAATAATAGTATATTATGAGTACTAAGTAATAGAAATGAAATTATAATAAATTATTATGTAAACATATGTACCGAAAACCTAATTTTATTTATAAAGGAGTGGAATTGAGACATGGCGATGTCATGGACCATTAGGCTTGAACCGTCATCTCCATTCAAGGTGGCAGGTCACAGTTTTGGTGGTGGAAATTCACCACCAACCAATCATTCCCATTCCAAGAATGTCACGATCAACATAAAATAACCTCAACAAAAAATATATTTTTTAAAAAAAAAAAAAAAAAATGGATGATAATAATGAAGAAACACCAGTCAAGACAATTTCAAATGCTGAAATTTTAGAATTTAATAAAATAATTAAAGAGTTAAGGGTAAAAATAAAAGAAATGAAGGAACAAGTTGATTTAGTAAAGCAAAAGTAAAGATTGGTTTTCTTCTCTCTTTTTAATTATTCCGATTATTACAGTTAACGTAATAAATAATAATAATATTTTAGAACATTCAAAGTTGATAAAGGAATATCGTTACTTGATATAAAATATCACACTTTACTCCAATACATTACAAATCTATGCTATCTGGTACACTTGAAACTTGATGGGAAATCGATTAAAAATCACCCTGTTATAATCAATCTTGTTGAATTAAGAGTTGTATTGGAAAAAATAAAACCTATAGAGCAGAAATTGAAATATCAAATTGATAAATTGATAAGATCAACATTATTGTCAGATAAACAAGGATATAATGATGATGATGATGATGATGATAATGAAGATGATAATGAAGATGATGAAAAAGATGATGTTGAAGGAGGTGAAGATTTTGATAAAGTTGGGGATAAAAGAATAATAAATACTATTTCTACTACAAGTAATATTTTTTATAATGCTAATAATAATTGATCGATTGATATTAAAAAAATAATATATACATGTTAACTGATCATTTATCAATTTAGTGACAAACCCTCTTTCCTTCAAGCCCAATCCTCAAAATCTTATGATAGAACCTAGTAAAAAAACTAAAGGTGATCTATAAGTTTAATTAATTAGATATTTAGAGACACATATTTATAATTATGGTCATACAAATAATTACATTTACGTGATTGCCATTAATTAGATAATAATAACAATGAAAAGAAATCCGATGAAATTTATAAAGCACCTAAATTAGCACCGGTACATTTTGAAGAGAAAGGTAATTATGATCTTCATAAATAAAAATAGGATTTATATAAATTTCTCCTCTCAAAATAATTCCCACAAATATAATTGTAGGAGTCAAATCAAAACAAGAAAAAGAGAGGGCACGTATTCTTTGGAAGGCATCTAACTCTCGGTTAGTTCAAGATTTGATGCTGGAATATGATGATCGACCAGAAGAATCCGATATTATTGGTGGATTGCAACATCCAGGAGGAGTTCGGATACGAGATAAAGTAGATAAGGTGATAGAAGAACGAAATAGATACGAGGAGGAGAATTTTATTCGATTGAATGTTTCTAAAAAGGAAAAAAGGAAGGCTAAAATGCTTAAAAAGTTTGAAGATGAGTTTGAGGTATATATAAATATATGTTATAGTTATATGATGATGATGACAATGATGATTTATGTAATTGATGTTGATTATGATAATAATTGATTTATAATATTTAGAACTTGGATGATTTTAAAAGTTTAAACAATATTCGAGATGATGTGGAAGCAGCAGAAAAAGAAAGTAAAAATGTCTTAAACAGACGAGATGCTAGAAAATCAAGATTCACTCATCATAACTTGATTATAAAAAAAAATTTTTTTAATGAAAATAAAAATAAAAAACGATAATTCCTAATACAATCATCGTAAAGCATCGTATCAATTAAATATAATTTTGTTGGCACGCTATAAGTGACATAACATGTAAGCATCAATACACTTGAAACTGAATTAGAAGGGAAGGAAGATTAGAAAGAAAAAAACATAATGATTTTTATCTAACCAATCATCAATTTGATTAATTGAATGAATGTTAAACATTAAGTTAACGTTAATGTGAATAATAAGCTTGCTTATATAAAATATACAAAATAAAACAATATAATATAAATTAATCTTATATTACATTCTCAAGAATTAATAATTAAATACTGATGATGATAATACCAGAGCATTAGATTGTCCAGGCAATTCTTTTCTTTCCAGGGTCGAGAAATGTTAAACAAATTAAATACATTATATGCATAATATACCAATGTGATTACTAGTAAAACATTATTAGGGAATTGTTATTCGCACCCCTCCCGTGACTAAGTATAGTACAGTCCACACTGTCTATAACGGATCATTGGGCCCAGAAAATTTATCCGTTATAGAGAGAATCCGGTATAGACAATTGTACTACATTAAGTCATGTGGAATAAAAAAATTTTTTTATTTATTATTAACTAATAAAAATTATTATTCAAAAAAACGGTCTAATTTAGATTGTTTTGTTGAATTGAATTCTATTTTTTTAATTTTCTTTTTGACGTTTTTTAATAGTTTCAATTCCTCATTTGTAAATTCCTTAAACTGTTGTTCAACAAACAAGTTTACTTTTTCAATAGCCAATAAAGC